TTTTACCGGAGGAAGTAAAGATTGGAAAACAGAAGCCTAAAGCTTAACCAGCTGGAGGGATGCATACATACTGTATTAAAATTTTATTTTTTTTTAGTCCCATCATAATGAAAAAAAAATACAAAAGCACTCTACATTACCTTTAGTAAGGCAATCAGTGATGTTCATAAAACATAAAAACCCACAGAAAGGAATCTTTCACTGATCTGACTGTATCAACTGATAAAATGATGTTTTTGATTAATTGCAATTGGTCACTGAACATATTTGCCTTACTGTGCACTTCCCTATTATTAAATAAGCCTTTTCACTTATTTTTTTTGTTGGAAAAAGTAGACACCCAAGAGGAAATGTTAGCTAGTCATTAAGCAGGGAAGAGACTGAGGAATGGAAAAACGCAAGCTTGGTTCTCAGACATGTTTATGTACGCTGTGTATACTCAGAGATGACAAACCTGTGATAAACCGTTCCTGTAATGAAAATTGATCAAAGCATTAGAAGATATACCTCCGGCATTTTGATTAAAATTGATAATATACTACTTCACCAGCATTATAGAATGTTGCTTAATGTTCCTAACAATTTGGAATGATCAATTCTACCTGCGTGTATTGTTGCATTTGTACCAATAAAACATTAGAATGAAAAGTGATATAAATTGCATATTACAGTGTAAGATAGTCTGACACTATAGCAAATAACTGTAATTCAATAATGCATACATATTTTTACAATAAGCACTGTATACAGCCTAATCCTTGTTAATCATTTCCAAGATAAATTCAGGAAAGCCATTTTTTCCCCTTTCCCCTGCCTTTACTGTTGATTTACAACCTTTGCTATCCTTAGAGATTACAAAGCTTAAATAAATTAGATTTCAGAACTCTAGCCATTTGCTTCACCTTGACATGCTATCCCAGTCAAGTCATGATAAAGCACCATTGCAGCTCTGGAAAAAGAAATACTGAACAAATAGATCTTTTTTTTCACAGCAGACCTGTCTTTGAAGCAATCAGAGAAAAATATGACTGTGGATGTTGAGGTCGTAATATCTGCCCTTCATTTAAAAATTAAAAAAAAAAAATATTGGATCTTCTGTATTTGAATGTGTTAATTGATGAATATCACACATATCATTTGTTTGTGTTTGCCACCACATATACATACGGCCTCCATTTGTGTAGAACCATGCCTACGATTCTCTCTGCCTATAGAATTTTCTCCCGCAGAACACTGCATGCCTGATAGGATCACAGAGTTTCCTGCTGCGGTGATCATCAGCTCAGAGAAGAATTTTCAGTTAAAAAAAAACCTCTGTCACAATACAGTATTCTGTGACCTTGTCTTAAAGGGACAAGAAAAAAAGTGGAAAAGCAAATTTTAATAGTGCTGTATTTGTTTATGCATGCATTTGTATGTTATTACATGCTTGCTGGTTTATTTATCATGCAGATCTAAGCATACGATAAAAGTTCCGGGCTAGTCGCACATGAATTTTGTTTTATTCAACAGAATCTTGTTTTTTAGCTGCTGCAGCAACATTTAAATAAAGCCTCTTTTTTTTTTTTTTTTTTTTTATGCAGCAAGTGAGATTAGTTGCCTGTCACTAAGGGAAAGACAGCTGATAAGCTGACAAGGTAAACAGCTGCACTTCAGAGTGACAGCACATTTTGTAAACACGATATGTGTAGAGGCTAAGCCAGTAGCTTCTGCACCTTCTTCTCCACATACTCTGCCCATGTAATGCTTCCAAAGGTATCCAAGTCTCTAGATTACTTTAGGCTTAATTCACAAAGCTAACACAACAGGATAAGGATCTTTAATTTAAAAAAGTGACAGTTATTTTCATCCAAGTCTAATGAGACTTGTAAAATTACAGTCATGTGGCTAAAATAAAGATCCATATCCTTGTGTTAAAGTGGAACTCTAGTTTTTTTTTTTTTTTTTTTAAATGTCCTTGCAGTGGGGCTCTCCACATTGTAAGGATTACCTGCTTCTTAAGTCTAGAGATAGAGGAATAAGCTGCGATACCTGGCTTATTCTTGGCTCCGTCAAGCGTCAGGCCCAACCATCCTCGTGTACAATGCAATGCTACTGGTCCTGCGTTGTATATAACGAAATCAAAGTGCAGCCACCAGCAGCAGTGCCAAAGAGAAGGGGCTTCGAGTGACAGCAAGGTGGAAGCCTACCTGAGTGAGCGATAGTGTAAGGCAGGCTGTAGATTATTCAATCTTTTTCCTTACACTGGGGGTGGAAGGAAAGAAAATCACTGATTTCCTTATAATCACAGTCAGCATTGATAGGGGAATCCCTCACACAGCGCTATTGTGTTCTATCAGCAGGGAGCCTTCCTGGCCAGCAGAACATAATGATTACTGCTAGTGGCTATAGCCGCCAGCAGTGATCACATGTAAAAAAAAAATGGTTTTACCCAAGTCAATCGATTGATTGACTTAGGTACAACCAGCCTGGCCATACATATATTGTAGCCCGGACAGTCTCTGCCGAACTGGCAGATATTCAATCCATCTATGGCCAGCTTTAGTATTTCAGCTTATTCCTCTTTCCCTGACCTAATGTGCAGTTACAATGAGACTTAATGATATTTACAAAAAAACTGCAGTTTTAGGGCTTTGTGATTTGAGCCTATTGTATTACAGGGACTCAGAGGAGCTGCAACCCAAGGTGGTCTTGCAATGGAGATACAAGAGTTGGAAAAGTGAAGGCTAAAACAGCCCACACAAGGTTGATTACATACACAAATGTAAACCATTGTTCCATAAAGAGCATTTGATCTGATGTAAAAATAGAGATACATATTATAATTCGTGTTACCTTGCTATGCTAGATTTGAAATGACAATTGTGTTGCTCTGAAGCAGTGCAGGGCAATAAAGATGTGTTGGGCATAGCTATCTAGAGCAATAAAGTTTTTCATTTCTGTAGTCATGCCAGTTAAAGTGAAACTAAAGTAATGAATTAAAAAATGCTAGAAGGTTGAGTTTTCTGGTAGAAGAGACATGCAAAGTTTCTTCTTCCAAAAATTATTCGTATTTCTCCTTGCCTTCTTTTTGTATAATGCCTGGAATGCAAACAGTGCAGTGTGCACTCCCATCTCATTCCCAGCATCTAAAACATGCATAAGATGCCTGAGAATGGAGCTGAGTGCCAAGACTGTGTAAATCCATTGTGAATTCACCCAATGGTGCACCTTCAAAAAGACCTGATGAAGATGTGGCCAGAGCAATAAACATGTTATTTATGTCCATGCAGCAATTGTTAGTCAATGAAAGTCATGGTATGTGTGTCCTTTTCCTCCACTGAAATCTATGTCATGCTGATATAGTGGTATCCACACACAATTCCTGAGATTTGTTAAAGCCCAACTGTAGCCTAAATGTGATTTTAGTGTCATGTAGATTAAAAAAAAAAAAGCTATCAGTGTCAGAATTTTATTGATGTCTATGTCATCATTGTGAAGATTTAACTTCATCTCCTATCTTGGAGACACAACGTACACCACAAGATAGGAAATGATTTTATAAAGAACAGAAAATGGCAGAGGTAAGGTTGATCTATCTGTCAGGTTTCTATTGCTCTGTCTTCCTGTCCCCTACCCTCACATTTTTGTTCTGGAGTCACCCTGACAGGAAGTGAGAGGAGATCTTCTCAGTAAGGATATGGACAGCAATGAAACCTTGCCAGATGTTCAGACTGTTAGTCACTCTATTAAAAAAAAAAATAAAGCCGGAGTTGTAAAGCTTTTGTTGATTTTCTATACAAAACAAAATATAAAAACAAAAAAAGGAGATATTATAACACAAGCTATGACAACACATGATAGGAACTCTTGAAGATAAAGAAGACATGTGAAGGTCAGGGGTGGACTGACAACTCATGGGGCCCCCGGGCAATAGGGGATCATGGGGCCCCTGTGTCCTTGCCCACACTCAAAGCATACCCAAAAAAGCCTATAAAAGGTACCAGGGGCATTACATGGGGCCCCCTACTGACCCCGGGCCCTCGGGCAGTGCCCGAGTGCTCAAATGGTCAGTCCCCCCCGGTGAAGGTAGATGGAGACACAAGAAGCTATCTCAACACATGATCCATTCTTGGCATGAACCACAGTTGTCTCCATCAGGAAACCAGTGCTGAGAAATGCCATGTAGCCATTGCTGGAGTGCATGCATTTAGACCAGCGGTTCTCAACCTGGGGGTCGCGACCCCTTTGGGGGTCGAACGACTCTTTCACAGGGGTCGCCTAAGACCATCGGAAAACACATATTTCCGATGGTGTTAGGAACCGAGAAACCACCGCTGCTCTATCCGTCTCCAGGTGTGGGCGGGATGACAAGGCGCCCCTGTCATCTGGACACACCCTCGGGATCAATCCTCGCCGGTGATTGGCCGCCGGAACTGTAGCTCAGGAGAGGCACACAGGCGGCCAATCACCGGCGAGGAGGTGGAGCTTGGAGAGGAGGAGCCGAGCGGCACCGCGAAGATCGAGCGGGGTGAAGAGGAGGAGAGCAGCCGGAGAAGGAAGACAGCTGAAAGGTAAGTGTCTGTACCATGGGAGAGGGAGAGAGGGAGGGAGGGAGCGAGCCCAGGCTGGAGCAGGGGTCAGCAAGGTAAGTATCATTGGTGTCAGTGGGAGGAATAGTGCCCCATCATTGGATTCACTAATACCAATGATGGGGCACTATTCCTCCCACTGACACTAACGATGAGGCACGATTCCTCCCCCCACTGACACCAACGATGAGGCACGATTCCTCCCCCCACTGACACCAACGATGGGGCACTATTCCTGTCCCCACTGACACCAACGATGGGGCACTATTCCTCCCCCCACTGACACCAACGATGGGGCACTATTCCTCCCCCACTGACACCAACGATGGGGCACTATTCCTCCCACTGACACCAACGATGGGGCACTATTCCTCCCACTGACACCAACGATGGGGCACTATTCCTCCCACTGACACCAATGTTGGGGCACTTTTCCTCCCGCTGATACCAATGTTGGGGCACTTTTCCTCCCGCTGACACCAGTGATGGGACACTTTTTCCTCCCGCTGACACCAGTGATGGGACACTTTTCCTCCCGCTGACACCAGTGATGGGACACTTTTCCTCCCGCTGACACCAGTGATGGGGCACTATTCCCCCCGCTGACACCAGTGATGGGGCACTATTCCCCCCGCTGACACCAATGATGGGGCACTATTCCCCCCGCTGACACCAATGATGGGGCACTATTCCTCCCCGCTGACACCAATGATGGGGCACTATTCCTCCCACTGACACCAATGATGGGGCACTATTCCTCCCACTGACACCTATGATGGGGCACTATTCCCCCCACTTACACCTATGATGGGGCACTATTCCCCCCACTGACACCAATGATGGGGCACTATTCCCCCCACTGACACCAATGACGGGGCACTATTCCTCCCACTGACACCAATGACGGGGCACTATTCCTCCCACTGACACCAATGACGGGGCACTATTCCTCCCACTGACACCAATGACGGGGCACTATTCCCCCCACTGACACCTATGACGGGGCACTATTCCCCCCACTGACACCTATGACGGGGCACTATTCCTCCCACTGACACCAATGACGGGGCACTATTCCTACCGCTGACACCAATGACGGGGCACTATTCCTCCCGCTGACACCAATGACGGGGCACTATTCCTCCCGCTGACACCAATGACGGGGCACTATTCCTCCCGCTGACACCAATGACGGGGCACTATTCCTCCCGCTGACACCAATGACGGGGCACTATTGACACCAATGACGGGGCACTATTAACCCTCCCGTGACACCAATGACGGGGCACTATTCCTCCCGCTGACACCAATGACGGGGCACTATTCCTCCCGCTGACACCAATGACGGGGCACTATTCCTCCCGCTGACACCAATGACGGGGCACTATTCCTCCCGCTGACACCAATGACGGGGCACTATTCCTCCCGCTGACACCAATGTTGGGGCACTATTCCTCCCGCTGATACCATGTTGGGGCACTTTTCCTCCCGCTGACACCAGTGATGGGACACTTTTCCTCCCGCTGACACCAGTGATGGGACACTTTTCCTCCCGCTGACACCAGTGATGGGACACTTTTCCTCCCGCTGACACCAGTGATGGGGCACTATTCCCCCCGCTGACACCAGTGATGGGGCACTATTCCCCCCGCTGACACCAATGATGGGGCACTATTCCCCCGCTGACACCAATGATGGGGCACTATTCCTCCCGCTGACACCAATGATGGGGCACTATTCCTCCCGCTGACATCAATGATGGGGCACTATTCCTCCCACTGACACCAATGATGGGGCACTATTCCTCCCACTGACACCTATGATGGGGCACTATTCCCCCCACTTACACCTATGACGGGGCACTATTCCCCCCACTGACACCAATGACGGGGCACTATTCCTCCCACTGACACCAATGACGGGGCACTATTCCTCCCACTGACACCAATGACGGGGCACTATTCCTCCCACTGACACCAATGACGGGGCACACTATTCCCCCCCACTGACACCTATGACGGGGCACTATTCCCCCACTGACACCTATGACGGGGCACTATTCCTCCCACTGACACCAATGACGGGGCACTATTCCTACCACTGACACCAATGACGGGGCACTATTCCTCCCACTGACACCAATGACGGGGCACTATTCCTCCCACTGACACCAATGACGGGGCACTATTCCTCCCACTGACACCAATGACGGGGCACTATTCCTTCCACTGACACCTATGATGGGGCAGTATTCCCCCCACTTACACCTATGATGGGACACTATTCCCCCCACTGACACCAATGATGGGGCACTATTCCCCCCACTGACACCAATGACGTGGCACTATTCCTCCCACTGACACCAATGACGGGGCACTATTCCTCCCACTGACACCAATGACGGGGCACTATTCCTCCCACTGACACCAATGACGGGGCACTATTCCTCCCACTGACACCTATGATGGGCACTATTCCCCCCACTGACACCTATGATGGGGCACTATTCCTCCCACTGACACCAATGATGGGGCACTATTCCTACCACTGACACCAATGATGGGGCACTATTCCTACCACTGATACCAATGATGGGGCACTATTCCTCCCATTGACATCAGTGATGGGACACTATTCCTCCCACTGACACCAATTACGTGGCACTACTCCTCCCACTGCAAAATTACAGTTATGAAGTAGCAACGAAAATAATTTTTATGGTTGGGGGTCACCACAACATGAGGAACTGTATTAAGGGGTCGCGGCATTAGAAAGGTTGAGAACCACTGATTTAGACCTAGAGATGGCAGGAATTTAGCAGCACCATGGTGGAAGAAAGGATAAAAAGAGGAAAACGAGTATTTAATACTTTAGGGTTTTAGATGGAAGTCAACCAGCATAGCTCCCATTTTTTCTGTTTTAATCATTTTTATTAGTTTTACAAAATAGGATAATATAGCATTGTATGCATTTTACATTATTGAGACTATCAAGAATAATAAAGACATACAATAATATCAAAGGATAAAACATTGTCCCATACCTCCATCTAGTAACACTCACAACCATTGAGGTATCTGGGAACAGTCCACAGTTGCAATATCAACCAATCTTAACTCTTAAAAGGATGAAAAGACATGTATATAAAAAGGAAAACAAACAAATGAATTACAATGAGAACCATCTCGGGCTCCATGCAGAAGAGACAGGCTAGCCTTCTGTCCTTCCACCCCACCATCCAGCATGTTTGACCCTGTTCCAGAAGTCATATAGGAGCAAGGGACTAGCCCAGGGGTACAAAGCCTGAATATTCCCATCAGTAACATTATTAGCAAAGCAAATTCCAAAATATAACAGTTTCTGCACTGTGATGTAACACATATGGTAAACAATGATGAGACCAGAAGTTGGGATAGAGGTCCCGGCATTATTATTGAAGGCAATTTGGGAAGAAAGTCTCCAAAGAGCAAAAGCAGGAAAATAAAAGAAGATAAGAGGAATAAAAGAGACAGGAAGTGTCCATTCAGGGATCCAGGAGGCCATGGCCATCTCGTTAAGGATAGCTCCCATTTTTTAATTTATTATGGTGCCTGTTATTTTCCTGTTTCACATTGCTTGCAATGCTTCTCTTATAAAGGGCTGTTTTCCTGAAACTGCATTTGGATCATATTCTAGACTCTGTTGCAAACAGTGCTTAGTGGACTTGATATCTGGTAACTAGTGGTCACTGCCCTTTGCACATTTTTATTTCTTGTTGCAGCACTTGTAAAAATTCCTCCTAGATTGCCTGGAAGTCATCCTTTGGTAGGTCAAGACATCTTTTTTTTTAAATATTTCAACTCTATTATGTGATGCAATTGTACATTTATATTGGGACTTGAATTGTAGTTACAGCTTGACTTACAGCATAATGGAAAAGATTAAGGATTCAGCTGAGGAAATCCCTTGATGTCTATTCATTTTTAAATTGTAATATTATGGTTTGTCAATCAAATGATTCCTTCAAGAAAGTAGAGATACCCAAGATGAACCATATCTACACAGCTGTCCGGCGTAGAGAGATAATATAAAATATCACACAGAGGAAGCTGCTGCCACATATTTCTTTCTCAGTCATTATAGTTTTATCTAGTCTATTTAGCAGCAGTCATTTTCCAGTTGTAGGAATAATGACAGTCATGGGATAGAACATAATAACATAGGAGTACTTGTTGAGAAGCTTAAACTGACTCTAAGTTACCATTTGCTAAGATTATAGACTGGTGCCTGCCGAGGTTTGTTGCCTGAGTTTTGTCTGCAGGTGTTATTCTAGCTTGCCATGTCTGACAGTGTAACGAGACTGACACCGCTTTTGCTTAATTTAATTTATGAGATTGTATTGGTATCTGTAAAACACAACAGCTTTTCCTTTTACCCTGACACATTCACAATTAGTTACAATAAACATCATTAAAATGCCATCTGCAGTAAGGCTTAACATTTGTTATATGCTTTAGAGCAAATTGTTAACACAATTCCAAATATCAAATTGATGGAATTGAAATGGCTGTGTATCTTTTTTTTTTTTTTTATTTATTTTTTACCAGGCAGTGTGAATGAGATGTCTTGATGTGGTTGACCACAGAATGCTTCAGGTGATGATGAATTATCGGCAGATAACACAGCAGGTTCCATATGCGTCTCGTCATTTTAACCACTTGAGAATAGTCAAGTCATTTAAAATCTAATGGCTGTGCCAAGTCCCCATCAACACTGACAATCTTCTTTTTCTTAATTTTAGAACCAGGACATTCAGAATTTAATTACCTGGCACATAAAAGGGTAAGAATTTTTTTAATAAGCATACATAGCTAAAATATAAATATCAATGTAGCAATCTGAAATTTCTGCAGAAACCCTATCTTTCTCCCCTGGTTATAAATAATCCACAAGAACAGAGAATGAGATAGATTAGCATTTCAATAGTGTTCTGGAGTTTCAGTTCCTCTGTTTGTTGATGTTTCTTGGCAAAGTATCTGACATTCTGTAGTGCTTGGGTAAGGTAATTCACTATAAAATACTCAGCCTTGTATATGTCATACCAGATAAACTACAGTAAATTTTTCTGACAATGCTATTTTTCTTTAAGTGCTTGTACAAAGGGGTATTATGACGGCCAATGAGGTCATTTTAAAAATATAATGATGCTAATGACAGTACATCTGATGTTAAAATACTAAACAGCTATGTAGTATTTGTGTCCTGATGGCAGCTGTCTACATGTGACTGTGACTTCATTTCCAATGTAGCTGATGTGATCCAACAATTTTAGCTGAACATTTTGGCCAGCATTGACCACTGCTCATCTGTAGGACATTGCTCATCTGATTCTCCTCTTTTGCAAAAGCCACTGACTTACCATGGGATTTAGCTTACCATCCCTGTATACCATATACCAGAATTTTGGTTCCTGCTTCTCTGTGTCAGAGAGGAGACTGGGACTGTATATATTAAAGAATATGGGATCTTCAAGCCTCCCTAATAGTTAGTATTTGCAATGGGCCAGGCAGGCTATCCTGCTACCCATGTGGCCATGCTCAGGACAAGAAAGGCCATTCAGGTACATTTTGGTGTATAATTAATACTCCAATATTTTTAAAGAGTCATACTGTCTA